CTCCAGCTGACACAGGATGCCATCAACTGTTAAAATTTATTGATCATAATTAGATTATCTAAGAGTGATCAACAGATAGCAAAGATGGAGCCCTTTTGGGGGGAAAAAATCCCTTCTACCCCAGATCTGACACTATTAAGAGGCTGTAAAGGAATGTTAAATTATTTAAGATATTTCAAAAAAGAATTAAGAATGGAAGAGTAAATTCTGCTGGAAAAGATATGACAGCTTTATACTCTGCAAAGTAAGTAATCTACAGAGATTCAGCTTAACTTTTTTTATAATAAACCTATTAACTTCCGTAAGGTGCTGAAACTTTGCAGCTAGTACATACTAATGCCACCCACTGTACCCAATGTGCAAAAGGAAATAATGGAGATGGCTAACCTCCAGTTTTCTGATCCTTGATTTGCATAAGTGGTGATGTACACCAAATACACAAAAGCTGGAGTATAAATATTTATTTTTAAAAATTAGGCCAAACTGAATATAGATATTAAATCTGGTTTCACAAATCCTTAAAATAATTTTCTGAGGAAACAATGATGAGGAATGTATAGGAAAGGCAATGTTTCTATGCTAGTGGTACCAAACCTGGAACTTAAAATATAAGTATCATTTTTAGCTCATTAACCTTATGGGAGATAACTAAGACCAGTAAGGGAGGCATTTTCTTCCCCTCCTCTATTTTTATTACTTATCTTTCTCCTCTTTACTCTTAAAATTGGCAATCTTCTCGCAACCCATGCTAATAATACAGCTACATATAATTCAAATAACAAAAGCATGTTTTAGTCCAAATATGCAGGATTTTTGAATACCTCACTACATTTGCTCTTATGCCCTCATTGTCCTGATATCATAGATATTAAGGGAAGATAACTTAGAAGGGGAAAGCAATTCCAACCTGGGATACAAAAAGTGATTACGAATAATTATCTTGTTGATAGTAAGGGCTGATGGTAACAAGTAGCTCTGATTTTCACATAAAGATTTCCCCCCAAAAACAAAACATGAACAATTCCAGTTTTTTCCCCCAGAACGTGACTTATTTCCCTTACACGTAACAAAATAAGCTCTCTTCTGCACAAAAAAGATTAATGGTTATATAAGACAAATAAGACAGAATGCTTCTCTTTGCCTTTCAATTAAAATACTAGAAACCAAGATAACAAAACATACATGGCCTTCTTCAAAAGAGCCACCAGCTTTCTTCTGGTTATTGTGACAGCTACCTAATGTAATGGGAAATAACACTCGAGCAGTCATTTGATAGGTTTCCCATGAATTCCAGCATTTACAGTGCCACAAACACAACTGCCATAATTATGACAACTCTGAAAAGCACAAATAAAGCAAATTTAAAACATTAATCCACATAAGCAGTACAAGGCAGAACAAAAGTGCTGAGTGGTAGGAAAATGAATAACAATTTCCTATCAGGAGAATAAAGTTTGTGTAAACTATCTTATATCCTGCAGATCACTTTAATGACCACCTATAAAATATAAAATTTCCTAAATACGCTCTGATTTATAGATATTTCTCTTAAGTCCATTTCTCCTATAAAATTACAGCAAAAATATTAAAATTATTTACCACCTTCTTAAATATCCACGGCACTTGTCAAGTACATGCCACTGTGAATCTACTGGTCATTATACAATTTTAAAAATAGTGAAAAACATCTAAGGGAGGCAGCTACAATAACAAACATGATAATGTCCTATAGTATCAGGCAGAGAAGCTATCCTAAAACAAAATGAAACAAAATCTTCAAAATTCTGGGTACTCCAAAAACTAAAATATACATGTTCTTCTGTGATTAAGAATGGGACTTATCTAAATATACCACAAGAGGCTCAGTTCCATATGATGGAGACAACATTTTTATGTTCATTGAGAAAGCTAGTAAGTAATGCTAACTTGAAAAGCTACCATCTCAAAATAAAAGTGATTTACTGAGCACCTTAAGAAATGGGAATTCTTTTGAGCAAACTGTGACCAACGACTTGTCTATATGTGACCATAATAGACAAGAAATACTATTAGAGAGCTACAGTAATAGAATTTGACGAAGGAACTTGATATTAAAAATAGAACTAGGCTGGGCACAGTGGCTCACGCCTGTAATCCCAGCACTTTGGGAGGCCTAGGCAGGCGGATCATGAGGTTAGGAGTTCGAGACCAGCCTGGCCAACATAGTGAAACCCCGTCTCTAATAAAATACAACAACAACAAAAAAAATTAGCTGGGCATGGTGGCACACACCTGTAATCCCAGCTACTTGGGAGGCAGAGGCAGAAGAATCGCTTGAACAGAGGAAGTGGAGGTTGCAGTGAGCTGAGATCGCACCACTGCACAGTCCAGCCCAGGCGACAGTGTGAGACTCTGTCTCAAAAAAAAACAAAAAACAGAACTAGAGATCCAAGGAAGAATTAAATTCTGTCAGACAATTCTGGCTTTTCCATCATATGTAATATTGGAATAAAATCAAATATGAGTAGTTTTACACATATAAAAAAATAAGGTAAACCAAGGCTATTTCCAGGCAGATAGTGAAAAAATAATTATATATATATATAGATATGTGAAACATAAAACAAAAGGTAAACAAAGAAAATTTTGGACTTTTACACTATATGACTCAATCTAGAAGTTACTCCAGGAAAAAGGCATAAGTGCTATTAATTATCATCATCTGGGAAGCTTTCATCCAAATGAGTTTTAGTATTTTCCAGGAAACACAAGGCACTTGCTTACATCTTTATCTACACATCCACCAGACTCAAAGTCATGATGTGATTCCATCTGTACCCCAATCTGAATAAAGCCACCTAGCATGCACCCTTGCATAAGTGTCTCGGTAAATAAATAGTTACTGAGTGTCTCCCCTACTCCTTCACCCGGTAACTATGTTGTTACAATTACTATCATTTACAATGATGCTGATTTTCATTAAATTAATTGTAAAAAAGAAAAAAAGAAAAAGTCATACTGCCAAGTATAACTGATAGTAGCAATTATGTGTAAGATAGGCCTAATAGAAAACAAGATCTAAAAGAAAAAGATACCAAAATGTTATCTGCATGGCGAATTAACTAAAGTAAGCCATGGAACAGCATTTGATAAGTGCTCCAACTCTGCCTTTTATTCTAGAAAAGTAACTGATGCCCTTACCAGAGTGAAGGTCCAGTGTGATAAGACAGAAAAAAGCCTTCTGCCCATGGTTTCCCTTCAGCTTTCTCTATGTGACAGCAATCCTTATAATAAATTTGCTCAATAGTTAAAAAATATAAGCAACACAAATCTAGAAGACAAGTTAAATAAGTATTTGGAGATTTTCTTTTAAAGAATAATTTAACATACCTTAGCACTCTTTAGCAGCTGGAGTACCAAAAAGAAGGCAATAATTCTCTCAATGAAAACAAAGAGAAGTTTGAGTAAAACTATACTTACGATTTTTGTTCTAAAAGCAGCCAGTTTGGCTCAAGGCATAGCAGAAAGGGAATCCCTCTAAAGAGAGCTGCTATATTGATGGCCACAAAAAAGGAAGACATCCAGTGGTAAGAAATGCAATCTCTTATTGCAAGACGATAGTTCTAAAAATTCCTTTAAAAGGCAGTCAATACTTTTAGTTAATGCTGTCTCTTACTGAGATGTCCAACTTTACTTGTTTTTGTCCTGTAAATACAGCATTTGTTTTCATAGTGGCTAGCTAGCTACCCCCTCCAAATATATTTCAAAAGAATCAAGTATTTCCTACAGAATAATCACGGCACGTGCCTTTTCTGGGTGTAAAATGTGCCACAATAATACTCTGAAGAAGTAACTGGGAAGGCAAGAGGTAAGGAAGCACAGGCATTAATCTAGAAAATGAAAAACTACCTGAGATAAAATTAGACCCAAAGGGTAGGGGTTAAGAGACATGAAACCTCACCTCTTTACCCTTCCTCTCAAAAAGAAAATTTCTCGTTTTTCAGTAATTTCAAGAAATCAAAATCCCTATGTATGTATTTCAACCTAATCATGAAACTTGAATCTTTTGATAATATTTGGTTCAGGTTTAAGAAAGATATTAAACTTCTGATAATATAAGAAGAGGGAGGGGTTATCTGCTAATATCATCTTTGGTAGAATGGGCTAAGAGCTACAAAATAATTTAAATCACAGGAGGCATTTTTTTTCAATTCTCTGGCTTTAATATAAAACATTTAATTAAATGCATGGTTAATTCAAGGCTCATCAATTATTCCCTCAGCTCCCTTAAAATCTAGTTAGCATCTTCTGTAATAAAATTCTACAGTGTCAAGCACTCAATATATGTATGAATGTATCAGCAATAAGATGACAGTCAAAGAATGCTGTGAAGATCGGCATCAAGATGTTAGCAGCATACTGCAGGGCTAAGCTTAGAAGCCTAACTGCAGTTTATGTGTAAGGACTTTTCTTTTGGGGGGTGGAGGGGAGAGAAAAGTACACGTGCTAACTTAGGATACTTGCCCTTAAGGAGCAGATATTTCTAATCACCACAAAATCTGCTACCCAAATGAACACTTAGGAAAGTTTAGGTCTTCACAATACTGGTTCTGCCCACTTGAATTCTGACTTGAAAACAAATCAATTTATAATCAACCTCGGAAAGGGTCAAAACAAAAAATAACAGCTCTTCTTGCTAAGGGCACATATTGGGGAACATGCCACAAGACCCTTTGGTAATTCACAAATCAGCCTCCTTATGCCAAATTTGGTTTCATAATAAACATTAAATGAGAGTCCTGAATTTGGCAATTGTAAATAACTAAAATGTCAAACACTAATTGTTTGAATGGGATAAAATATTTCACTCTCTAAAATGCAAATTCTAATTGGACTCTCAGCAACCTGCATGGCAAACAAGGAACTATGAGAAGGCTTCCAGCAGGGAAAGATATAAAAGACTTTTTCCTTAGGAAAAAAATAAATAAATAAAAGAATTAATAACCTGTATACAACTTGTCTTTTTTTTTTGGTATTATCAGTGCTTCATAAAGGTGTCCTAATTTTTATATCTTTAAAGACAACCTACCATTATGTAAGAGGAATCCATAATTATAATTCTAAAAGCCGTGTCATCAACTTGTGTCCATGAACTCACACATACCAGCATTCTCTACTAAGGGAAACATCAGGTTGCTACGAATCCTTTTAAGAATTCCTTAAGAATTCTTTGAGTTTTTCTTCCTTTCTACTTCTATCTCATTATATCTACTCCTTTCTTAACTTCCTTGCAGTCAAAAGCCAAACTACCTGGGATGCTGCTCCTCTATCTTCAGGTAAGGATAGAGGCAGAGAATGAGAGAAGGGGAGGAAAAAGGGAGCAGGGATACAAGAAACAGAAAGGAAGAAAAAAGAATTCTTTATTTTCTATCCTCTCTTCACCCATTTTTTTCTTTTCCCTTTATTGTATGTCTAATTCTTTTCACCCACTTCAATTTTCCATCATAGTAGGCAGAGCCACATCTTGAGAAATCTTAAAACTATAGATTTAGTACAAAAAAGATGAGCTAATACAGAGTCTAAATTAGACTGAAAGAGGGGTTGATTTACATGTGGCAAAACTTAGTCTTTGTTCTAATCATTTTAGAAGTCTCAATGTAACTCCAGGGTAGACTCCAGTTTGTTCTGAGCCTCTCAGGAATTATTTGTTTTGTCATTTACATTGTATCAGAGAGACCACCTCTCAAAAAACGCATATCCTAAATCTTATCGATGTGAAATAGGTAGGGAAGAAATGAGTTTAGACTGTATTAGCTCACAGGATTCACACTATAAAGTACAGTGACTCAAATTTTCTCTAATCGTTCATACCTGCACACTCACTCAAGCATACATACTAGACATAAAAATTGTGCAAGATCAAGCATCAGCTTTCTATTTTAAAAGCCTTAATTTTAAAAATCTTGGATAGGCTCACTGCAGTTCCTTTAAAGGAATATTCAGTACTACAGTACTCCTTTAAGAAAAAATTCACAACTCAGTGTTAAGAACACAGTAGGTAACTGCTGCTTGACAATTACTTAACATTACTGAGAGCATCCAGTGCCAGCTTATGGATATCAACAATAAGGAAGAACCACTGGACAACATAAAGAAAGAATCTGTAAATGATGTCACCAAACCTAACAAATTTGTTAGTATTTACCAAGACATGATATTATTCATTCTTGCTTCATGATCACACAAAATAATTAATATGTTTTTAGGTTACATACGGAAGAGCAGCACCTGCTCTCCTGCACAAAAATAGGTTGCCCACATGGATGCTCTAAAACCCCTCAATGTATAGCTGAGAGGTCTTGTCCTACTCAGTGCCAAATGTATGCAATGCAGTCACTGCTTGGGCAATGGCTACACATTAGTAGGATTAAATAAATGTACAAAGTACCTTCCTAAAATGGTAAGGGGGTGCTCCTGCATTCAGGTGTGGAATACAATAACCCAAGAAATGGAAGAGGAGAAAAAGGAAATAGTTCTTAGGTTACTGATTAAAGCAAGGTTTGATACAGATATCCCCTCTTATAGGCACTCAGCGGGTAGAATGTAGCCACAACAAACTTCCCATCAAACATCCTTCCAGTTAGTAATTTCTGAGCAGCTTTGGAATCACCAGCATTTGCATACTCGACAAAGACCTGAAGGAAGACAGAGAAAAAAAATGTCATTTCATTTCCACCAAGATGGTTTTAGACCAGTACTTTATCAACTTTAATGTACATACAACAATTGGAGATCTTATTAAAATGCAGATTTTGCTTCCTTAGGTCTAAGCTGGTGCCTGAGTTCTAAACAAACTTCCAGTTGATGCCAATGCTGCTGGTGCTGCTGGTCCATGAACTATACTTTAGAGCAACACGGTTTAGAATACTTCCTTACAACTCAGCTCAATTCTGAAAAATCTTTCAAAGACAAGTTGGGTGAATCATGTATAACCTTTTGCCAAGATCATTACAGGAGTGATGAATAGCACTAGACATCTGCCACAGACATGGTTGAATAGCCCAGATAGCAACTGCATTTCCATGGTACCTGGAATATAATCTGTAATTTTGTAAGTGAAAAAGGAAAAAATACTGGTCAAAAACTGCTAGAAACTGCACCTATTAAGAGGTACAATTTGTAGAAGCTATACCTCATAACTATAGTAAAGGAAGAAATTTAATACTAGGTAATTTCCTTTTTCAGAGCATTTGAATTCCTACCTGAGATAGAAAGAGGATATAACATAATTTATAAGTTTTTTTTTTTTTTGACCTAAAGCAAAAGTTAGAGGAAGATGAAATGATTTGAAATAACTCATCCTCAGTTACCTTGTAAAAACAACTGCCTCTCCCTTCTCAGTTGTTTGCCTCATTCATTCTGTCAATAATAGTCTGTGAACTGGTATTCCAGCATCCTAGGTTACTCAGAGACTTTTGAAGGGATGCGACAATAGATCATTTAGAAGAAAATCAATTTCCAGATTAACTTTCATTTGTACCTTTTCCTAAAACTCATCAACCTACAAGTTCAGGAAGGTTATCCTTTCTCATTTCCCCTTTCAAAGGAGCCCTTATCCCACTTGACAAAACAAAGCTATTTATAAAAACTTTCAGGACACAAAGAGGGGGCAATTCCTAATACAGGAGTCTGTTTTTTATGGAATCTTCCTTTGTGAATACACGCAACCCCATGTCCTGCCCATGACTTGTCATCACTATCTTATGCAAATATTTCTGTTAGGGGTGATATAAGACATGAGACCTAGGATATTTTGGGCCTGTGATGGAATTTTCTGAATTCATATATAGAGAAAAATGGAGAAGTGAGACTGGCCTTGCATCTTCTATCCCATGGCTATTTTAAGCTACACATTGCTCTTTAAGACAAAGTAGAGATCATCTAATGCTAAATATTGCCTTTTTTTTACACATGTAAATGGGTGCTTGCCAGCTATTATTAAAACACATCCCTAAAATGTGTCATTAACTGGAAATAAAAGCACTTTCAAATGGCCACAGCAGTATAGACAGAAAGGCTGTTTAAGTAAAACTGCATGGGGAAAATGCTATTGATAAAATTTCATGTGATTTCTTTCTAAGGAGGTGTAATTTATGAAATAAAACCTGTATTATTGAACTGTATCATGAAATATATAAACTAATCGGTTAATTCTCATTTTATTTCATCTTAGAAATACTTAATATTTTGCCTTTCTATAAAAGTGTAAGTTGTCTGCAAGATCAGTTTTAGCAATATATACTTTCTCATTAAACGCAAAAGAAGTTAGAACATAATGCTTAATAAAAATAATGAATCTGGCTGGGTGTGGCAGTTCACACCTATAATTCCATAACTTTGAGAGGTGAGGTGGGTAGACAGATTGAGTCCAGGAGTTCAAGATCAGCCTAAGCAACATGGCAAAATCCTACCTCTACAAAAAAATTAAAAATTTAGCTGGGTGTGGTGATGCATGCCTGTAATCCCAGCTACTTGGGAGGCAGAGTGAAGAGGATCACTTGAGCCCAGGAAGCTGAGGCTGCAATGAGGTGAGATCACACCACTGTACTCCAGCATGGGTGACAGAGCAAGACCCCGTCTCCCCCTACTCCTCCACAAAAAAGAATAATGAATTTATTTCTGATTTTTTTTTTACCTGATTCTTAATTATTCCCAATCCTATAGACCAAAGTTCAATAAATGAGTAGGAATGCATTTACAGAAGGAGTATTATGTTTTCTATCATACTCCTTTGTTCAGATAGATGATACTTTTTTTTTTTTGAGACAGAGTCTCGCTCTGTTGCCAGGCTGGAGTGCAGTGGCATGATCTCAGCTCACTGCAACCTCCGCCTTCCAGGTTCAGGCAATTCTGCCTCAGCCTCCCGAGTAGCTGGGACTACAGGCGCATGCCAGCACACTCGGCTAATTTTTTTATTTTTAACAGAGACGGGTTTCACCATGTTGATGGCCAGGATGGTCTCGATCTCCTAACCTCGTGATCTTCCCGCCTCGGCCTCCCAAAGTGTTGGGATTTTAGGCATGAGCCACCACACCTGGCCTTAGAATATACTTTTTTATACTGCACCATCCCATACTAAGCATCACATCTTATTTTTATAATTCATTATGAAATTAAAGGGCTATATCATTCTAATCCTGATTACTTTTTATAATTGCATTATCAGAGGCATTCATTATTTTTCAGTGGTTTTTGTAATATTCCTTATAAAATCATGTTTACTTGAATTGAAAATTCAAATGAAGAATGGCTTTGTCAGCAGGTAATGAACACTTTCAAAAGCCTAAATAGATTAACTCTCTGATTTCAAGAGTTTATCAAAAGCTGCTTTCATTCTCCTTTAAATGTCAGTGAAAACTTCTCAAAATAGCAACTTTCCTTTCACTGATACTTTTTTCGTATCATCTCAAACCTGGATACTTCCTTCTGGAAAAGATTTCTCCTGTCTCTCTATTCTGTATCTTCCATTTCATTTTGACCACTGGGGTTAAGGCAGATCCTGTTAGTCCTTCATTTAAAATCTTCCAATACCTTGCCCTAGTTCAGAGTAAAAGCCACTGTTACCTCAATGCTCTACCAGGCTCACTCTACTTAATATGCCCCCTACCGCTCCCTAATCTCCTCTCTGATTTAATCTCTTACTATTTTTCTTTCTCACTCTGCTACAGCCACATTGGCCTCAAATCTGCCAGGAATACTCAGAGCCTTGGATCTTGCTGTTCCTTTTGCCTAAAATTTTCTTCCTTGCTTCTCTTTAACTCATATAACCTTCTTAGTATGTCCTTCCCTATCACCCATTTAAAACTGCAACCCACTCTACCTACCCCAGCACTCCTTAAGCTTCTTCCTTAATCTATTTTTCTCCCTAGCACTTATCACCATTTGAAAAAATCTTATTTGACCACTTTCATGACAGTTACCTAGAACATAACAAATGCTCAATAAATATAAGTTAAATGACCAAACAGCAAGGACATAATTATTATTAGTATTCAGTATGTGACACTAAATGACATAAAAACTGTTATCATGGGCCAGGCATGGTGGCTCACCCCTGTAATCCCAGCACTTTGGGAGGCTGAGGCAGGCAGATCATGAGGTCAGGAGTTTGAGACCAGCTTGGCCAACATGGTGAAACCCCGTCTCTACTAAAAGACAAAAATTTAGCAGGGCATGGTGGCAGGCACCTGTAATCCCAGCTACTTGGGAGGCTGAGGCAGGAGAATCACTTGAACCCAGGAGGTGGAGGTGGCAATGAGCCAAGACCATGCTATTGCACTCCAGCTTGGGTGACAGAGCGAGACTCTGTCTCAAAACAAAAACAAAAACAAACAAACAAAAAACCGAAAGTATTATCACATTAGTTTGGCAATAACATGTCATTAGAACTAGAATAAAATTATGTTCATATTTTTTCAGTTGCCAGGAATGTTCATAATACTAAGCTATTAAGATAAAATAATAACTGGGCACAGTGGCTCACACCTTCAATCCCAGCACTTTGAGAGGCTGAATCGGGTGGTTCACTTGAATTCAAGTGTTCAAGACCAGCCTGGACAATATGGTGGAACCTAGTCTCTACAAAAAATTAGCCAGGTGTGGTGGCACGTGTGCCTGTAGTTCCAACTACTCGGGAGGCTGAGGTGGAAGAATCACTTGAGCCTGGAAGCAGAGGTTGCAGAGAGCTGAGCACGCCACTGCACTCCAGCTTGGGAAACAGAGTGAGACCCTGTCTCAAACAAACAAACAAAAAAAGATAAAACAATCCACAACCAGAGATAACTTCACCCACTAGAAGGCAGACATCTGGCAGTGTCTAGAGACATTTTTGTTGTTCAAAGCCGGGAGAAGTCAGGGATGCTGTCAAACGTTCTATAATGTAGAGGACAGCTACTCTAACATATCAGCCTCAATGTCAAGAATGAGAAACCCTAGGATACAGCAAACCCAATATTCTATTCTCTCGGAAAATAAAAATACTATAAATAAATATTTTCTTATATTCTTCATATAGTTTAATTTGGAATTAAGAGTTTCTTATAAAAATGTGGTGATAACAGTTTTAGTCCACCTATTTTACAGATGAAGAAACTGAGGATCATCACAAAGCTAATCATATTGAGACTAGAACTCAGGTTCAAGAATTCTCAGTCCAACACACTTTCCTTCTTTAAACTATCACTGACAGTTCCTATTACAATTAAAACCTAACCTAATTGGTTTTCTAACTCTACCTAATTAGAACAAAATTAGACTAAAACATTTCTCTAGCCGAACCTGATATAGAGCATGATTCAGCAGTTGGTGTTACTGTTTTTTTTTTTTTTTTTTTGAGATGGAGTTTCGCTCTGTCACCCAAGCCGGAGGGCAATGGACCCATCTCAGCTCACTGCAGCCTCAGCCTCCCAGGTTCAGGCAAATCTCCTGCCTCAGCCTCGCAAGGAGCTGGGAATATAGGCACTCGCCACCACGCCTGGCTAATTTTTGTATTTGTAGTAGAGATGGGGTTTCACCATGTTGGCCAGCCTGGTCTTGAACTCCGGACCTCAGGCGATCCACTCACCTTGGCCTCCCAAAGTGCTGAGATTACAGGCATGAGCCACCATGCCTGGCCTGGTGTTACTGTTTACAGCGGCTCAAAAGTAGTCTTTTTTTTTTTGAGACGAAGTCTTACTCCTCCCAGCCCAGGCTGGAGTGCAATGGCAGGATCTTGGCTCACAGCAACCTCTGCCTTGTGGGTTCAAGTGATTCTCCTGCCTCAGCCTCCCAAGTAGCTGGGATTACAGGTGTGTGCCACCATGCCCAGCTAACTTGTATTTTCAGTAGAGACGTTTTACCATGTCGGCCAGACTGGTCTTGAACTTCTGACGTCTAGTAATCCATCCACCTCAGCCTCCCAAAGTGCTAGGATTATAGGCGTGAGCAACCACGCCCAGCCGATATTTTTTTAAAACAAATTTTAAGTGCTAAAAAAGAAATGCAAGCATATTATAGAACTTTTAGAAGTAAAAAGGTCAGAATATAAAAATCATTTAAAATGCAAAACCATAATCCTTAGCAAAATTTTTTTGTACATCTTCCTACAGAACTAAAACATTTAATACAGAATTGTAATCGCATCTGAACAATTCTGCAATTATAAAAATATTCACTTACTTGTCCTCTGCCAGGATTTTCCTTTGGAACAAGCAGAGATACCACTGGTCCATATTTTTGACACTCCTCTTTTACATCTTCTACAACATCTGATTATTAAAACATATAAGAGTAACTACTCTGATATAATTAACAGGTATTCAATATATGAAATTTTTCAATCAAAGAATTCAGGAATACATAACTAGTCTATGAGGTCATTTTAGGTGTTGAACAGTTGACATATTCAAATGACTCCAAATTTTAAAAAATAGTCTTCCTCCCAGCTTCTACTCTCCTTGAAGGCAACAGATAACATCAGTTTCTTCTGTAGTCTGCCATAATTAGTATAAACTTATACAAGCAAATATGAAATTATAAAAGCAAATATCTTATTTTTTATATTCAATATGTCCTTTAAGATATTTCCAAATTATCACATAAAATTTTCTCATTAATATATTATCTAATATGTCCAGTACTGAATAATTTTAAAATTTCCAAACTTTTATCACTTATAACAGTACCACAATAAACCCCCATATGCATATCTCATTTCACTTGCATATTTCTTTGTCTTTTTTGAGAGGGAGTCTCGCTCTGTCGCCCACGCTGGAGTGCAGTGGCACAGTCTTGGCTCACTGCAGCCTCCACCTCCCAGGTTCAAGTGATTCTCCTGCCTCAGCCTCCTGAGTAGCTGGGACTACAAGCATATGCCATCACATCCTGCTAATTTTTGCATTTTTAGTAGAGACAGGGTTTTACTATGATAGTCAGGCTGGTCTCGAACCCCTGACCTCAGGTGATTTGCCCATCTCAACCTTCCAAAGTGTTGGGATTACAGCTTGAGCCAACACACCTGACCTTACTTGTGTATTTCTAAGTTGACATTCCAGAAATGGAAATGCTAGGTCAAAATGGACATAAATTTCTAATTTTTCCAATTTGCTTTCTTTAAAGGTTTACCAATGTAAACTTTCTCTAGCAATGTACAAGAATGTCTGTTTTCCTATGCCCTCACTCACAAGAGGATAATCTAACGTTTCATCATTGTCAATGTGGTTGATGGGTAACAAAGATATTGCAGTTTGGCTCCAATTAGCATTTCAACAATAGAGAGGAAAAGCATATGTGTAAAGTACTTGTCTACTTCCTTTTCCATAAGCTGTAATAAGAGCTATAAATATTTCTTCTTTAAACTATCATTTGTCTTTTAATCTTGCTTAAGGTCATAATTCTTAGGGTCAGAAAACAAAGTAAAATGATAATTTTACTGCTTCTGAGTTTAATATTCCACATCAGGAATATTAAATAACAAAATTCTACAATGACTTTTTATATTAAAAAGTTCTCTCACCCTGCCCTACTTCCTTCCCTCACACCTTTCTTTTCCCTCCTTCCCTATTTCATCCCCTTACTTGTTTTAGTATTTTAATCTTTACTTGATTTGAAATTTAATTTGGTCTGTAATGTAAGGTTTAATGTTCTTCCCTGCCTCCATCAAGGTTACAAGACAGCTGTTCCAACACATACCATAATTTCTAGCTAAGCAATTTGTTATTTCATGATGAACCTGTTCATCAAAAGTAACAAAGGTATTTAATGGTACTATACTGTCTGCTGCAGTTTAGTTCACTTCAGATTCGATAGCAACATTTAAACAAAATGTAAAGACTCAATGTATTTAAAAGCAGAAAAACGTCATAACAAGACAGAAGAGTTGATATGGTAGTCTAAAGGTTTATTCAAAAAAAGCCCAAGCTTCAGTTTTATAGAGATAAAAATTATTTGGAGTAGAAAGGATGAGGTGATGAAGACAGCAGGTCATCACAAAGATGAAGACTGAAAGGACATAAGTAGCATTCTGAACTGATCCCAAGAAATTCAGAGCCACTGGACCTTTGTGACCTGAAACAATGCTGAAGGCAAGACTTTCTTTCAGATAGATATCCTGAAAACTCAAGACTCAAAATGGTCACAGACTCAAAGAAATTACAGTTCTCTCACTATACTGTAGGGACATGAAATGATTTACAAGAGAAACTGTCATATAATTAGCCTTATCTGTAACATTTTAATTTTCTACAAGGAGAAGACTGAATATTATGCAATTAGTATTTTTAAATAGAAAAATAAAAGAGCTTTAGAGATATACACACCTAAATATCTGGCTTTTAAAATATTTACTAGCTTTGTGACTAAGCCTCAGTTTACTTCAATTATCTATAAACTGAAAAAATAACTACCACCTCTTAAGTAATATATATAAAGTACTAGGCACAAAGTTAAGTGTTAAGATCAGCCAGAGAACAAGAAACAAAGTAAAATGAAAAGGAAACAGTAGAAAATAAAGCTTTGTTTTAAATTTTTTCCATTTTAAATATTAAGAGGATACAAAACTGATATAATTTATGGGCAGAAGATACAGAAATTAAAAATAGGTCAAGAATCTAGAAGATATTTGAGCCTCATTTGTTAGCAAAATAATTAAAACCTGAAAGTAAATAAATGATAAATAGGAAAAAATTTTAAAGTTCAAAATTGAGTACTAAAGGATATCTACAGAAAATATTTGGTTACTATGCAGGAACATCAGTGACTTCCTACCTACTTTTACTTATAACTTCCATAACTTAGATACGGCCACAACAAAAATTCTTTCTCTTTCAACCTATTTCAGTGAGTACAGGAGGCATCCCTCCTCTTGTCCAAAATGGATCCTCAAGGTCTGCTTTTTCTCCTTTATTCCTTATCTCTTTAACTAGCACCACCAACTGTCAAGTGGTTCAATTCAGATGTCTCATGCAAAAGCCAAACCTGCCTCACTTCTTGCTCTCATATCCACTCTGTCACTACATTTAGACAGATTATATATGGCCCTTTGTGAATTATTTCTCCTTCCATCTTTCTTCCTATAATAAATATTTGAGTGCCTTCTGTGGGTCAGTGACATTAATATAGCAATAAACAAAACAAACTGGCTTATATAGTGCATATATTCTAGTGGGTAATGATAGATAATACTTGTTGAGTGCTTACTATTTGCCAGGCATTGTTCTAGGAAATGTTTATATATTATTTAACTTTCACAGCAACTCTACAAGATAGGTACTATTTATTATCTCCATTTTATACATGAGGAAACTGTTGTTTCCTTCTTTTGCAGAAAACTGCAAAGGAAATTAGTAAGTGATGGAGGCATAATGTAAACTCAGTCTACACTCTCCCCCAACCCCCGCCGAGATGGAGTCTCACTCCATTGCCCAGGCCGGAGTGCAGTGGTGCAATCTCAGCTCACTGTAATCTCTACCTTCTGGGTTCAAGCACTTCTCCCACCTCGGCCTCCCAAGCAGCTGGGATTACAGGTGTGTGCCATCACGTCCAGCTGTAATTTTTCTAAGTCCACACTTAACCACTACACAAAATTGTTTCTCTGGTAGTAGTAATACTAGGTTGATGCAAATACTTCACAGTTGTTGCCCTTGGTCCAAGTCTGACCCTGCTTTAGTCCATTCCCCCGTTTCCAGAATGTCCCTACTAAAACACAAGTTTGACTATGTCATTCTCCCATTTAAATTTATTTAATAAACTCCTTACTGCATTCAACAAAGAACAGATATTTATTGAATACTTACCATAAGCTAGATATTACTCTATACCTGATGCAAAGCTCTTCATCTATCTGTATTTTGGTGTTACTATCTCTAGGACAAAATCCAAATTCTTAAACACAGCCGACTAGTCTGTACTCTGGCTACCTTGTTAGCTTTAACTGATTGCTCCCTAACAAATACCTTAAGATACAGTCATGCCAATTTGCTGTTTTCTGACATTTTCATCTCTATGTATGTGTGCTACTTACTGCCTAACCCCTCAACTTTCAGCCCAGCAACTCCAAATTACTGAGCTCAGATATAACCTTTATAGAGGAGCCCTCACCAATTATTCAGACTGAGTTAAGTACTTGTCCTTTCTGCCCTTGTATAGTACCCTATCTTCAGATTAACACAACTGTAATTCTTTATGTATCTGTCTCCCCTACTACATTAAGATGCGAAGTAATCCCACAACAGCACATAGTAAATACTCAGTTAATATGTCTTAAATGAATGAATCTTAAAAGCAAAAAAGAGAGCTAAAATGGAGATATGCAAGCACAGGGAAGGGCTAGAAGAGACAGAGCAGAGAGATAGAAGTTGTTCGGAAAATTAATCTTCTTTGTTAACTGGGTAAAGATGAAATGTAAGAGTCAAAAGGACATTATAAATAAAAAAGTGAGAGGGCTGGGCACGGTAGCTCACGCCTGTAATTCCAGAACTTTGAGAAGCTGAGGCTGATGGATCACCTGAGGTCAGGAGTTCGAGACAAGCCAACCAACATGGTAAAACCCCGTTTCTACTAAATACACAAAATTAGCCAGGCCTGATGGTGCACGCCTGTAATTTCAACTACTTGGAAGGCTGAGGCTTGAACCCTGGAGGCGGAGGTTGCAATGAGCCGAGATCACACCAATGCACTCCAGCCTGGGCAACAAGAGGGAAACTCCATCTCAAAAAAAAAAAGTGAGAGTGTTTTAGAGATCACACTGTTCAATATTCTCATTAGATAAACTGGGAAAATATGAAAATGTTATGGATATGTTTATTCCAGACTTATTTAAGAAAGACACATTAAAATATAATTTAGAAAATGCTAACCTTCATATTCCTCTTCATTCTCAAGATAATCATCATCCAGCACATTCAGCAATCTTAGCACTGGAGTGGGAAGCATGACCAGATCTTCAATATGAGGGGCTGTTAAAATTCATCATAATACGGTTAAATGTAAATCCCTCCAAATAAGTTGAACATTAGATAAAGGAACTTGGGAATATAAATTAGTGCTGATGTCCTGTATGACTATCAAATGACCAAGAAAAAAAATAAAATAATATACAACTTACCAAAAGGAATGCTAAAGAATGGGCTACACAATGCCATTTCAGCAGGAATTCTTCTGCTCGGATCATCATGAAGCATGCTAAAACACAAAAATAGGTGGCTTATCATTTCTGCTGAATCTTTTGAAAATGCAATCAATAAAGAAAGAATGTCTAAATGTTTATCACAGCATTAATTATATTAGCATGATTTACCAAATCATTCACCTATAAGGAATACAAATGCTATTTATTAGTAGATGGTTCAGTAAATTCATGAAACATACCTATGACAGTATACTGTGATTTACAGTAACACTTTTGATTAATAAATGAAACACTGCAAAGTGATCCACACACTGTAACAGTGAGTGAAAAAAAGCTAGACACAAGTTTAGGGTAACACACACAAAAAAAGATAGTAGTAGGATGATTACTGAAGCTTATCAAATTTCTCTAATAATAAAACAACTAGGCCTGGCGCAGTGGCTCAGGCCTGTAATCCCAGCACTTTGGGAGGCCGAGGCAGGCAGATCACCTGAGGTTAGGAGTTCAAGACCAGCCGGCCAACATGATGAAACCCTATCTCTACTAAAAATACAAAAATTAGCCAGCCATAGTGGTAGGCACCTGTAATCTCAGCTATTCGGGAGGCTGAGGCAGGAGAATCACTTGAACCCAGGAGGTGGAGGTTGCAGTGAGCTAAAATCATGCCTTTGCACTCCAGACTATCGGACAAGAGAGAAACTGAGTCTCAAAAAATAAACAACTAAAAATAAAAAAAAACCCAACTAGATAGCAAAACCAAAAACCTGTTGACAATATCTATAACAAAAACTATAAGGACCCCCTAAACAGCCAAAGCAATCTTGAGAAATAAGATCAAAGCTGGAAACATCATCCTACTTGAATTCAAAAAAATACTACAAAGCTACAGTAACTAAAACAGCATGGTATAGATTTAAAAACAGACACACACACTGATGAAACAGAACAGAGACCCCAGGGGAAAAAAAACATTTACAACCAAGAACACATAGTGGGGAAAGGACAGTATTTTCAATAAATAGTGCTGGGAAAAACTGGATATCAGCACACTGAAGAATAAAATTAGACTGTTATCTCTTACCTACACAAAAAAAATCAACTCAAAATGGATTAATAATTTAAATGTAAGACCCAAAACTTCAACAGCACAAGCAACAAAAGCAAAAACAGACAAATGGGATTACATCAAACTAAAAATCTTCTACACAGCAAAGGAAACAGCAAACAAGGTAAAGAGACAACTTACAGAATGGGAGAAAATATTTACAAACTATACATCAGCTAGGGGAGTAATGTACAAAATATACAAAGAACCCAATTTGGCTGGGTATGGTATTTCACATCTGTAATCCCAGAAATTTGGGAGGCAGAGGTGGGAGGACCACTTGAGCCCTGGGGTCCGAGACCAGCCTGAGCAACATGGCAAGATCCTCTCTCTACAAAAAAATTTAAAAATTAGCTGGTGTGGTGGCATGCACCTGTAGTTCCAGGAACACTTGAGCCTATGAATTCAAAGCTGCAGTGAGCCATGTTTATACCACTGCACCCCAGCCGGTAGGACAGAACAAGACCCTGTCTCAAAAAAAAAAAAAAAAAAAAAAAAAAAGAGCTCAAACAATTTAATAGCAAGGAAACAAACAGCCCAATTAAAAAATAGGCAAAAGACCTGAACAAACATTTTTCAAAAGAACACATACAATTGGCCAAGAGTATATGAGAAATGCTCAATATCACTAATCATCAGGAAAATGAAAAACCAAAACCACAATGAGGTATCACTTCATATGTGCTACGATAGCTATTATCAAACAGACAAAGGATATAGAGAAAAGGGAATCCTCATACATTGTTGGCGGGAATATAAATTAGTAAAGCCATTATGGAAAGCAGTATGGAGGTTCCTCAAAAAAACTTTAAAAAAGAACTACCAGTAATCCCACTACTGGGTATATATCCAAAGGAAATGAGACCAGTATGTTGAAGAGATACCTGTATGCCCATGTTTATTGCAGCACTATTCACAATAGCCAGGATATGGAATCAACCTAAGTATCTATTAACAGGTAAGTGTTCATTTCTTGGATGTTAGCTTAAAAAAATAAAAATAAAAAAAAAGATGAGTATAAAAAAAAAAGAAAAACAGGTGAGTAAAAAAGGAAAATGTGATATATATTTATATATACATATATACATATACATATACATATACATATACATATACATATATACACACACACACAATGGAATACTATTCAGCCATTGAAAAGAAGCAAATCCTGTTACTTTCAACATAGATGAACCTGTAGGGCATCATGTTAAGTGAGATAAGCCAGGTACAGAAAGAGAAATACAGCATGATCTCACTCATATGCGAATTCTAAAAAGCTTTGATGTCACACAAGCAGAGAGTAGAATGGCAGTTACCAGAGGCTGGGTGGGGAAGTTACAGAAGAGGGGAACTTGGCGAGACATTGGCCAAAGCCAAAAGATGCCTAATTACAATTAGATAGAAGGAATAAGTTCAAGAGATCTACTGCATGACTATTCTAGTTAATGATGCTGCATGGTGATTCTAGTTAATGATGATATTCTTGAAAAACACAGAGAATGAATGTTAAATATTCACACCACAAAAAATAACTATATAAAGTAATGCATTTGTTCATTAACTAGATTTAATTATCTCATAATGTATATATACTTCAAAACATGGTATACATGACAAATACATACAATTTTATGTCATTAAAAAAAAGATTGAAATGCTGTTATAGTCTAATAAAATTAATGTATCACTATAGAGCTACTGAAATGTTTGTGGCATAAAAAGACCATTACTTCCTTATTGCAGGTAAGCATTTATTAAGTAAAAAGAAATCACTTAAAAAACAAAAACTAGGCCAGACGTGGTAGCTCATGCCTGTAAACCCAGCACTTTGGGAGGTAGAGGTGGGTGGATCACTTGAGGTGAGGAGCTTGAGACCAGCCTGGCCAACAGGGCAAAACCTCATCTCTACTAAAAAATACAAAAAATTAGCTAGACATGGTGCCGTGCATCTGTAGTCCCAAGCTCTTCGGGAGGCTGAGGCAGGAGAATCACTTGAACCTGGGAGGTGGAGGTGGGGACTGTGCCACTGCACTCCAACCTGGGCGACAGAGCGCGACTCTATCTTAAAAAAAACCCAAAAACCAAAAAACTATAGCGACAAGCTATCAATAGTAGTTGGATTTGCCCCATATTGGCATCTATGTGTAAGGAGGCAGAGGAAAGCTACAATTGATCTGATGAACCAGAGAAAAAAATAAATAACCCCAAACGGCCAAAAGGTACTAGAAGCACAGCAGGCTGCTGGGGAAAAGCAGCTGAAACTATAAGGGGTTACATATTCTAATACTAAGTGAATACAAGGAATTCTTCGTAAAATCCTAAGAGGTTGGAGTAATCTAGACACTAAGACCTGTCTTAAAACGAACCAGGCAAAGCTTTCTTTCAGTCAAAGGCCCACAGTGAGAAGAAAACCTGGGAACAGAATATAAATTGAACAGGATAAGGGAGAGAGAGAGAAAGGGAGGCACCGGAAAAAAGCAGAAGAGCCAGAAAATCTCTGGGAAAAAAAAAAAAAAAATCACTACTTTCTGGGAATATTACACAAAACAACAGAAGAGGGAGCCTTGTATAACTAGAAAAGTTATCCCAAGTACATCTTCTTCTATAAGTTTAGGAAAATAATTCACACATAAAAATAAGCAACATAAAAAGGATTATAACTGACTGGGCATGGTGGCTAGTGCCTGTAATCTAGCACTTTAGAAGGCCAAGGTGGAACGATTACATGAGTCCAAGAGTTCAAGACCAGCCTGGGCAACATAGTGTGTCTCTGTCTCTACAAAAAAATAAACCAGGCATGGTGGTACATGCCTATAGTCCCAGCTACTTGGGAGGTGGAGGTGGGAGGATCGCTTGAGCCTTAGGGGTTAAAAATGCAATGACCTGTGATCACACTACAGCACACTAGCCTGGGTGACAGAGCAAGACCCTGCCTCAAAAAAAAAAAAAAAGAAAAAGAATCTGTTGTACAAAAAGATAACTGCAAAATGAAACCTCTCAGATAATGAATGTATGCCAGAAAGACATGGCCATAAAACAGATGAACATTATAGTCTACCATTTCTTTTTTTTTTTTGAGACAGAGTCTCACTCTGTCACCCGGGCTGGAGTGCAGTGGCACAATGTCAGCTCACTGCAACCTCTGCGTCAGCCTCCCAGGTAGCTGAGATTACAGGCAGATGCCACCAGGCCCAGCTAATTTTTGTGTTTTTAGTAGAGACAGGGTTTCACCATGTTGGCCACACTGGTCTTGAACTCATGACCTCAGGTGATCTGCTTGCCTCAACCTCCTAAAGTGCTGGGATTATGGGCATGAGCCACCATGCCAGGCCATTTAGCTAATTATGAAACAGAAGGTTATAACGGCTGGGCATGGTGGCTCACACCCATAATCCCAGCACTTTGGGAGATTGAGAAGAACAGATCACTTGAGATCAGGAGTCCCAGACCAGCGTGGTCAACATGGTGAAACCCCGTCTCTACTAAAAACGCAAAAATTAGTTGGGCCTGGTGGCGTCCACCTGTAATCCCAGCTACTCAGGAGGGTGAGGCAGGAGGAACACTTGAACCTGGGAGGTGGAGGTTGCAGTACGCCGAGATCATGCCACTGCACTCCAGCCTGGGCAACAGAGTAAGACTTTGTCTCCCATGTCCCCCTCAAAAATTCAAATGAACTAAGGACATTTTTAAAAAATGATACAGGATGTGAAAGAGCAACAGAAATCAAAATCTGAAAATCATAAAAATAAGGTAATAGAACTCAGGAAAGAATCAGAAACTTAAAAAAATCATTTCATAAAATAAAATTACACTACAAGAGATATAAAGATGAATAAACACAACAAATAACGTCTTAGAGAAAGAGTAGGCAAAAAGAAGGATATTTTTTAAAATAACAAAGAAATAATGGGTCGGGCACGGTGGCTTATGCCTGTAATCCTAGCATTTTGGGAAGCTGAGGCAGGAGGGTCACTTGAATTTAAGACCAGCCTGGACACATGGTAGGACCTCATAAAAAAAGATAGGAAAAAGAAATAATGAAAGAGATAATATGGATTCAAGGGAAAATGACAGCTGGGCGCAGTGGCTCACACTTGTAATCCCAGCACTTTGGGACGACAAGGCAGACAGATCACTTGAGGTCAGGAGTTTGAGACCAGCCTGGCCAACATGGTGAAGCCCTATTTCTACTAAAAATACACAAATCAACCAGGCATGGTGGCAGGAGCCTGTAATCTTGGCTACTTGGAAGGCTGAGGTGGGAGAATCAATTGAACCCAGGGGGCAGAGGTTGTAGCAGGCCAAGAGCGTGTCAATGCACTCCAGCCTGGGAAACAGAGCAAAAAGTCTGTTGAAAGAAAGAAGGAAGGGAAGGAAGGGAGGGGAGGGGTGGGCAGGGGAGGGGAGAAGAAAGGAAAGAAAGAAAGAAAGAAGAGAGAGAGAAAAAAATGGCAATATTGAATATAAGGCAAAGAAAATCAAACATACGTAGACTAGGAGGACATAAAAGTGAAAACCAAAAAGAAGAGAAAAAAAATACTAAAAAGTCCAATTTAAGAACCCTTTTCTAAAACAAAAAAAACAAAGATCTGAAACTACACAGTGAAACTACACTGTTATTTCTGAGAATACTGACCCGGAACAATCAAAATCAAAATATATTTTGGTATAATTACTACACATCAAAGAAAAAGATAAAATCCTCTGGGAATCTAGAAAAGAAGACCAAGTGCCTTTTTTTATTTTCCTTTTTTTGAGATGGAGCCTTGCTCGGTTGTCCAGGCTGGAGTGCAGTGGTACAATCTTGGTTCATTGCAACCTCCACCTCCTGGGTTCAAGCAATTCTCTGCCTCAGCCTCCCGAGTAGCTGGGATTACAGGCATTCGCCACCACGCCAGGCTAATTTTTTTGTATTTTTAGAAGAGACAGGGTTTCACCATCTTGGCCAGGCAGGAAGACCAAGTGACTTTTAATGAAAAGGCAATTACTGAGTCATCAAACTTTCAACAGGAACACATGGCAGTGACATATAAGACACTCAAGGAAAGAAAAATGTATGAGATTGGGACGAGACACATACAGGACTTCCAGGGTAGCTGGAAAGTTTTATTTCTTGATGTACACGGTAGTTATTAGGTGGGTACAATGTTCCTACGGATTCATTAAGCTCCACCTTTGTTTAATTAGTGTTTTCAGTATCTGTGCTTGAATCAACAACAAAAAAGGTTGAAGCGACTTGCATGCATATATAACACAATATGCAGAAAAACAGTGGAAGGAAATATACCAAAGTGCTAACACTAGAACATGGGTTAATAATTTTTATTTTCCTCATCACTTCTTTCTATAATTTCTAAATTTAATAATCCATGTAAAATGGATGGGGGGACTATTATTTAAAGAATAAAAAACAAATAACAAAGTTAATACTAGAACTTAGATTATTTAACTTCCAGGCTACAATCCATTTTACAATTTTTCACTGCCATCTCTTCAATGTAAAACGCAATATATAATATCTCGTATCAATCAGATGCTAACAGCTATTTAAAACTAACATGAAAAAAACAGACACAAATAAACCATGCATAAAATTAGTGAAATTGGCTGGGCACAGTGGCTCACGCCTGTAATCCAAGCACTTTGCAGGCCAAGGCGGGTGGATCACCTGAGGTCGAGAGTTCAAGACCAGCCTGACCAACATGGTGAAACCCCGTCTTAAAAAAAAAAAAAATTAGTGAAATCAGAATAAATCCTGCGGATTATACCTGTTTCAATTTACTGGTTTCGATACTGTATATACCACAATTACGTAAAACGTTACCACTGGGGGAAACTGGGTAAATGGTAGGGACCTCTCAGTAACATTTTTGCAAAGTCCTGTGAGTCTATAACTATTTCAAAGTAAAATGTTAATGAAACTAATTTGAAGGTTTATAGGTCCAATATTCAAAGGAAACTATAATATTCTGACTCAAACAAGGGATCCATACTTTTCTAGCGTACTATTTTACTTACTTCTGATCCATAGTCTAGAAACCCGAAAAGTCTACTATTTAATAATACAGTCATGCACTGCATAATGACATTTTGGTCAACAATGGACCATATATACAACAGTGATCTCATAAAATTATACTGGGCTGAAAAATTCTTATCACTTAGTGACATCATAGTTATAATGTCCTATCGTAACACATCACTCACATGCTTGTGGTAATGCAGGTGAGTAATGTGTTTGTTGTAATAGGACATAGATGTAAATAAAACTACTGTATTTGATAATGACAATAAATAGTTATGTTACTGGCTTATGTATTTATAACTGTATACATTTTTTATTGTTATTTTAGAGTGTACCCCCCCCAAAAAATAGTTAACTGTAAAATAGTCTCAGGCAGGTCCTTTGTGAGGTATTCCAGAAGAAGGCAATAGGAGACTCGGCAGCTCTATGAATGTTATTGCCACTGTAGACATTCCAGTAGGATAGTATGTGGAAGTGGAAGACAATGATATTGATAATTTGATCCTGTGTAGGTCTAGGCTAAGGTGTGCTTGTGTCTCAGTTTTCAACAAAAAAATTTTAAAAGTAAATAAGGTAAAGAAAAATTAAAATTTATAAAGTAAAAAAGTTACAGCTAAGCTAAGGTTAATTTATTACAGGAGAAAAAAAATTATGGTAAGACATGGTGGCTCACACCTGCAATCCCAGCACTTTGGGAGGCCGAGGCAGGTGGATCACTTGAGTTCAGCGGTTCACGATCCACTGGTCAACATGGTAAAATCCCGTCTCTACTAAAAATACAAAAATTAGCGGGGCACGGTGGTGTGCACCTGTAATTCCAGCTATTTGGGAGACTGAGGCACAAGAATCGCTTGAACCTGGAAGGCAGTGAGCCAAGATTGTGCCACTGCACTCCAGCTTGGGTGATAAAGTGAGACCCTGTCTCAAAAAAGAAGAAAACAAAAATTTTAAAATAAATGTAGTGACAGCCAAGTAGACAGTGTTTACCCTTAGTCATTAGTAATGTCCTAGGCCTTCATATTCACTCACCACTCACTCACTGAATCACCCAGAGTAACTCCAGTCCTGCAATCTCCATTCATGGTTAAGTGCCCTATATAGGTATGCCATTTTAAATCTTTTATACTATAATTTTATTGTACCTTTTCTATGTTTAGACAAATCACACTTACCATTGTATTACAGTTGCCTAAAGTATTTGGTACAGTAACATGCTGTATAGGTTGTAGCCTAAGAGTAACAGACTCTACCAGACAGCCTAGGTGTGGGCAGAAGTCTGCATCATTTACATTTATGTAAGTACTTTATGATGTTAGCATGACAAAATCACCTAATGACATATTTCTCACAGCAGATCCCTATTGTTAAATGACCTGATTGTACATATTTGTATTTTCAAAATATCTATTGTATTTGGATCTAGTCAGATATCAGAAACACTGTATCTGTCCCCATTGTCAAAGATAATTATTTAAAATGGTTTTTGGGTCTTTTTTTTGGGGGGGAGGGGAGTAATGCAAAAGCAAACTCAATCTTTAGTTAATAAAGACTTTTTAAAAGTCAGCTTTCCATCAAGTATACAGAACTGCCAGGGCTATGAGAGGCCAAAGGTACAGTGGCTCAGTATCTATCTTCCAGTGAAAAGGCGGCTGCCAGGAAAAGCTTACCATTTGATACTATGAGCAAAAGAACATTCCTTTGAAAATAAATTTGGTAAAACTATTTGATTACTTATGTTCCTTATAGGAAGCTAGCCTGCACAGACTTATTTCTAGGGGAACAAAACCCCCACATAGGTCAAGCAAACTAGAAATAATAATATAAATCTGTTCAGAAAAAAAAAAAGACATACGACTTCACACAGTACATGTATGCAAAGCAAGCTTACAGTGCATGTAACATACCTTTTGATAAGGTCTCTTAGGTGATAGGCTGGAATTGCGGCATTCACCACTGCTTTACTGGCAAATATGTGATCAATAATAGCAGAACTGTTTGCCTTAAGAAAGGGAGAAAAGTCTTCCTTTGGTTATTCAGTCTGTATTTATTGAGAACTAGGCATACAGCACTATTTGAGTGAGTAAAATGCAACAGAAAACACTATAACACTATCTTCTGAGAGCCTATAATAGCTTTTTTTATTTGGAGACAGGGTCTTGCTCTGCCACCCAAGCGGTTGTGCAGTGACACAATCTCAGCTCACTGCAATCTCTGCCTCCCAGATATAAGTGATCCTCCTGCTTAGCTGGAAATACAGGTGTGTGCCATCCCACCCTGCTAATTTTTTGTAGATATGGGGTTTCATCATGTTGCCCAGGCTGCTCTCAAACTCTTGGGCTCAAGTGATCTCCCCACCTTTGCCTCTCAAAGTGCTGGGATTATAAGCGTGAGCCATCATGCCCAGCAACAGAGGAAATAATATACATAATTATACGCTTCTAGAGAAGAACATTTTTTCTCCATTTTCAGCACCTAGCACTCTATAAACATCTACTAGATGAAAGAACAAAAAATTAATACCAAAGCAACCACATAAGAATGTGATTTAATGCAAAAATGAATGTGTAATAGGTGACTCAGGGTATCTCTGTGATGAGTCTTGAACTGGTTTTCGGACAGAAATAAACTATCAAAGAGAATACGAGGCAGTATTAAAACATCTTATCTGTCATACTACTCATTCTCTAAATCTTTAAGAATATATATTCTGCTTGAATATTATGCTAACTCAAAATTCAGAACTGTGTACATGAGTTAAAAGAATTGATACTACCATTATTAGTTAATTATATTAAATACTTACCATGAGCTGCTTGCTAAAAGTATCATTTATTAATCTCAATAGTCTTATGAGATAGATGCCATTATTATCCTCATATTAAAGAAAGCAAACCATGGCTTAGTGAACCTAAATAAATAACTTAGTAAGATCTTTGTGGAGGCCAAAATACAAACCCTAGTAGTTTGACTTTAGGGCCTATGCTCATAATCAGTTGGCAATTTTGCCCCCACAGAAAGTGATAAAACAGAAAAATAATGTTTTATCTAGAGGAATATATTGGAGATCCTAATACTACACATTGTCCCTATCAAATGTATGTGAATTTCACATAAATTTGAATGTGATCTAGTTCTGATGAGCTCTAGGCCAAACAGATATAGTCCAAAAGACACAAAGATAGTCAAAGCTCATTCAAATAACTGATCTGTGTTTGGATTAGCACTAATTAAGAATACTTAGACTCTCAATTGTCTGGGATACCAATAATAAAGAATGATACTGATTTTACTCCCAAGAAAGCAATTTTTACCCATACAAGCATCAGGTACATACACTGGGCTATTAAGTATCCCTTCCAGGAAATGCTACAACAGAAATCAGTGACTAGGTGTTTAAAAGAAACAAAACTGTATGCTATGATAGCTATACAGTATGTATTAGATGCTCAAAAAAATGCTTGTTGCTTACTACCAAAAACTTGTTGCTTAATATCTCAGTTCCAAACCTCTAATATTTGAATGAACTTTCTGTGGGTTTTTCAGTTAGGAATTAACTACAGTATGTTTTCAAAGGTATTGTGGGGCTTTAATGTTGTGATAATATCAGTATCCTTTAGGCTACTGTTTAAGTGATCCTCCTGCTTCAGCCTCCTGAGTAGTTGGGACTACAGGTGTGTGCCATCACACCTGGATAATTTTTTGAGGTTTAATAAATACAATGCTTTGGAATGATTATTGGTTTTGATATTAAACAAGTATTAAAATATCTTTTATAATTTTTTTTTACTAGAGACTGGGGTCTCACTACATTGCCTAGGTTGGTCTCAAATTCCTGGTCTCAAGTGAGCCTCCCAACTCAGCCTCTAAAAGTGCTGGGATTACAGGTGTGAGCCACCATGCCCAGTAAAAATAATTTTTTTAACTGTAAAGCAGTTAAGATAATCTATAAAAATTATCACTTAACTCATAAGCTATGATTGTATTAGCAACACTTTAGAACTCAATATAACTGTTACTAAGCAAAAGAAACCACTTTTGCTTCTTTAGGAAAATGTATTCATTCAAACATTTTTATCAAGCACTTACTATATGCCAAGCCTAGGCATAGGCTAGGAACAATATGAATGCAACACTCACTAGCACATTGATAGCCATAGGAGTGGGTAGTGGCATTTAAGTATCATAAATAGAAAAACAGGAGTATGGACAACAGATAGCAATCAAGAATTCTAGACAAGAATCATCATAAATTGGCCAGGCACAGTGGCTCACACCTGTAATCACACCACTTTGCCCTCGTGATTTGGCAGATCACGAGGTCAAGAGTTCCGAGACCAGCCTGGCCAACATGGTGAAACCCTGTCTCTACTAAAAATACAAAAATTAGCCAGGTGCGGTGACGAGCGCCTATAATACCGCTACTCAGGAGGCTGAGGCAGGACAATCACTTGAGACCATAAGGCGGAGACTGCAGTGAGCTGAGATCGTGCCACTGCACTCCAGCCTGAGCAAAAGAGTGAAACATGTCTCAAATTAAATAAATAAGAATCATCATAAATTGAATACTCTTAAATTGAAAGTAAGAACCCCAAAGTAAAGCACTGGTGAAATTTACCTTCCATTCCTGAGATCTGACTGTATGTTTCAGTTTCATTCCTGAGAACATTTCCAGTAAAATGATTCCTAGGCTCCACAGATCAACAGCTGAGGTACATTCTGTATCGCTCTGCAGGCCAGCCTGGGCCAAGCAATTCTGCAGTTCTGCTTCTGGAGCCCGATACCCGTCTGTCTGAATATACTTTACATCCTAAAGAAGATAAATAAATATTACAACCAACAAAAAAGCTGCTCCCTTTCTATCCATCTCTACAGTGTGTTTATTTCCCTAAGAGTACAGTAAATCCACTGCCAAACTAAATGCTAAAAATTTTTAGCCCTTGGTTATCATATTCTTTGATTCATTAACTGGGGGCAGTTCTCAGAGGCAAGCTGTACATTTCCATATAGTGCTCATAAAGAAGTCTTCTTTGGATTGTCTCTTACCTATTAGGCACTGCTGATAATAAGGACACTCTGCAAAGAAACAATAAACCATGGAGAATGGGGGATTTGCCAGAACTATCATATGCATTCTGCCATATGATACAGCCCCCATACTGAAGAGATCAGGAACAGTAACTCAGCAATTAGCCAAACGTTCATAAAATTTAAAATAGCATTCTATGTAGGTTAAGTACTTTTAATAATGCCAGAGCTCTCCTTCTTCACTGGCTCCTCCTACTTGACCCAAACATTATGTCCTTTTTTTAAATGGTGGCACTGAAATTCTTTTGATTTGCTGCATCCCCTGGCATTTCAGTATTTTAGATAAAAATGACGTATAAGTCCCTACTAAACTACCCTTGTCATTTGAAAATACTTGGCTTTGACTACAACTGCGAGAGTAAAGAAAAGGTTATTTCTTATTTCTTACCTGATTGCCTTCTTTGAAGCTAAGTCCAAAGTCAATGAGTTTAAAACATTCATTCTCTGCACTCCACAATATGTTACGTGGTTTGAGGTCCGCATGGACATAGCCCTCATGATGAAGAAAAGCAAGGGCCTCCAAAACATCTCGGGCACAATGCTGTATCATCCACATGGAACAACCCTGGTGACTGGAATATAAGAGCAATTCCGAAACACTGACATCCAGGAGTTCAAGCAACAGACAGCGTGATGGCACATTTGGAGAAAAGTGGATTGTAAACACTCCATACAAAGTCACTAGGAAAAGAAATTATCATACTTTAAGAATCAGACTTAGAGTAAGTCACTATTAAAGTAGGTAACTGCAATACAAATTTGAGAGAGTCTAGATAAGGATAACTTTGATGAACAAGCTTCCACTGTAATTTATTTTTCCCATGGATAAGATCTTTGGGCAATTGGGTTATTTTAATAAAAACAAGATGAGACAGCCTACAATAGCTGATTACCATTCACAGATACTAAACATGGTACAATTATTTGCGTTTCACCAAGTACTCAGTGGTGGGTGAACATGAACTTGGAGTGCCAAGAGAAAATGATTAAAAGTAAAAATCCAAAATATAAATAAATAATATTGTTGCATCATGAGGTCCTTTAAAAAAAAAAAAAAAAAAGGAAATTTTAAAAAGTAAGAATCCAAATATAAAGTAACTCTTTTAAAAGGAATGTCACAATGTACAAAAACCAAACTAAAGATTGCTTCTTGATCCAAAATAGCAGTATAGGCCTGCCACGGTGGCTCATGCCCGTGATCCCAGCATTCCGGGAGACCAAGGCAGGACTGCTTGAGCCCAGAAGTTCCGAGGCCAGCCTGGGTAACAAAGGGGGACTTCCTCTCTACAAAAAATTAGCCAGGCATGGTGCCAGGTGCCTGTAGTCCCAGCTACCTGGGAGGCTAAGGCAGGAGGATGGCTTTAGCCCAGGAATTGGAGGCTGCAGTGAACTGTGATCTCACCATTGTACTCCAGCCTGGATGACAGAATGAGAATTTGTCTCAAAAAAAAAAAAAAACAAAAAAAAACGGAAAAATAAACAGCTCTCTATAATCTAAATACTAATGAAGAGACTGAGACTTTCCAGATGAAATTTTAACTAATCTTGCAGAGATTCAGCAAGTCCTTAGGCTTACAAAAAATTTTTCCTCTTCAATACCAAGGTTATAGTGATAGACTAGTAAACTAAAAAAATGTAGCGCTAGTGTTAAGTAATTCTTCTCCAAAATGGTATTATTAAAAAAACTCACTCTTCAAATTAAATATGCATCACACATGCTAAGAAAGAAGACTTTAATAACGAAAGCTATAACTAATGATAAGCTCTCTGTCCTGTAATGAAAATGAAGACTTCACAGATCAATCATCAGCGATCATTACATGTCTTACATTCTGAATATCTGAGTCATGAAACAGTCTCACAAGAGCAAAGGTACAGCGTTCCTAAATTTCACAGTTCTATAAGGGCTCCCATGGAACAGTGAATCATTTCCTCCAAATCCATAATAAATACATACCAGGTAAGCTGTATGAGTTACTAGCATTGATGTCACAAGCCCTAGACATAGTTTCCATTTTCTACTGGTATGCAAATATTCAAAAATTTCCACACAAGATACGACAATCTAGCAAAGACGTGCCTCCTCTCACTAGAAAAGATATTTCTGTATGCTAATGAATGCGGCATTCTCTGAAGAGACTAGAAGCAAGGTAGAATTTACTGAGCATCTATGTGACACTGAGCAAAGCAGACCACCAACTCCACTACACTGCAGACAGTAATAAGGTGAAAGGGGAAAGCGGCCTGGATCAGGTGATAGAGGGCTAGACCCGCGAATCCTGCAGAAGGGGAGGAAGACCGAACGCCACACAGCGAGAGGAAGAGTGTGCTCGGACTGTGACCTGGGCAAGAAGAGAAAGGAGACAGCGGCAATTACCGATGTTCCTGTGACCCTGCAACTGCTCCAACGCCGCTCTCTCTTTGCGGAAACCATACTCGGCGGCCGAGGCCGCAGCCCCGGTGGTTCCTGGCGGCAAGAACTGCTTGAGGGCGCCGGGGGGGCGAGCCAGGGTTGCCGCAGCAGCGCACCCGATACACCGAGGCAGAGGAGCCGCTACCCAGACGGCTCTGTACCTGCCACAGCCGCCCAAAGGCTTCCAGAAAACGCGGCGGCTCCGCGCCCCAGGCACAGCCGGATCCCGCCATCGGTGTCGGCTGAGGGCACGTACACGGGAGCTGACGCGACGCCTGAGGCAGGCCGGCAGAGCCCGCGGTCACATCCCCGCTAGCCGGACCAGCGGCTCCGCAGGGGAGGACCTGCAGCCGCCTCACCGACTCCTGGGACTTCAAGCCGCCATGACACCGGAAGCCGTAGTGCCCTCGAGTCCGAGAAGCCGGAAACCGAGGAAGAGCCTATCACACAGGCCGAAGGAGGGAGCTCAGAAGGGGCGGGGACTAGAAGTGATTAGACGAATTAGGTTTGGAGAAAAGGACCCAGAGTAAGAAGTAACCTATTAATTACTGAGTATCTACCATTCCAGGCCCAGAATTAACTGCTTTCACGGTTAGGATAGGATACCTGAAGCCAAAACTGGTCCTTTTTCTTTTGAGGCACCTCACTTCACCACTAGGAACCCAGAAAAATAAAACCCCGCCTACATTTCTCATAGAGAGGAGCCCAAGGAAAACACCCTAAGTACAAAAGGTATACCATCACCTCCAGGTCCATGGTCACCAAAAACCATGATTCTGGATCCCTAGACCTTTGTGCTTCTATTTTAGTTATAAACCAAAAATAAAATTCTGAGGCTCCCAACCATCAGAATGGACTTTCTCTTCGGCCAGGGCACTCTAAAACTCTGAACGACTGGTTTAGGCCATGACTGGAAGTAGGGGTCGGACTCATCTAGTTATACTTCTCTGGTTAATATCAGCGAAACATTTACAATGTATTTTTCTCAGAAGCCTGCTACCTGGAGGGTTCATCTGCATGAGTAAAACTTTGGTCTCCACAAGCTCTAATGGCAACCCAGACATTCCTTTATTTTGATAACTCTTTCAACCAGTTGCTAATTAGAAAAATTTCAAGTTTACCTATAACCTGGAAGGACACATTTCTCCCTCCCACAACCCCTGCTTCGAGTTGTCCCATCTTTCTGGGCCAAATCAATGTATTTATTAAATGTATTTGATTGGAGACTAATGTCTCCCCAAAATGTGTAAAACCAAGCTGCACCCCAGCCACCTTGGGCACATGTTCTCAGGATATCCTGAGGGTTGTGTCACAGGCCATGGCCACTCATATTTGGCTCAGAATAAATCTCTTCAAATATTTTACAAAGTTTAACTCATTTTTTTCTTTTTTTTTGAGACTGAGTCTCACCCTGTTGCTCAGGCTGGATTGCAATGGCGCCATCTCCTCTGCCTCCCGGGTTCGAGGGATTATCCTCCTCAGCCTCCGGAGCAGCTGGGGTTTTAGGCGCACACAACCACACCCAGCTAATTTTTTTTCTTTTTTTTTTTTTTTTTTGTATCTTTAGTAGCAAACTGCTGGGATTACAGGCCTGAACCACCACGCCTGGTGAGTTTATCTCTTCTTATCATAATCCACCTTGCCTATGGCTCCCTCATCAAAAACATTCACCCTGGGCAAACATGGATCTGTTTCAAATTTTTAATTTTCATTTATTTGTTCAATTATTTTATTCATTCAGCAAACCCGTTTATTGAACAACAAATAGACACCTTAATTCACAAACTAGGGTGTGTAATAAATGTAGCCTTCTTTACTTTTCAATCATTCAACTTTTTCTATTTCAAGCTCTATTCTGATTATGTGGCCATAACTTATTTTCCTCAGTTTTTGTGTGAGTTCCCAACAAGATGAGATGGTTTATACAGTGCTAAGTGGAGAGTTTGAGGACTAAGCTCTAACCTGTCTTCTCTCTTGCTCAAATTCTTTTTTTCTTTCTTTCTTTTTTTTTTTTTGAGATGGAGTTTCGCTCTTGTTGCCCAGTGCAATGGCATGATCTCGGCTCAATGCAACCTCCGCCTCCCAGGTTCAAGTGATCTCCTGCCTCAGCATCCCTAGTAGCTGGGATTACATGCTCCTGCCCACATGCCTAGCTAATTTTTTTCTATTTTTATTTTATTTATTTATTTATGAGAAGGAGTCTGCTCTATCCCAGGCTGGCATGCAGTGGCGAGATCTTGGCTCACTGCAACATCCACCTCCTGGGTTCAAGTGATTCTCTTGCCTCAGCCTCTCAAGTAGCTGGGACTACAGGCGTGCGCCACCATGCCAGGCTATGTTTTTGTATTTTTAGTAGAAACAGGGTTTCACCACCTTAGCCAGGCTGGTCTTGAACTCCTGACCTCAGGTGATCTGCCTGCCTCTGCCTCCCAAAGTGCTGGGATTACAGGCATGAGCCACCACACCAGGCCCCAAATTCTTACCTAAGGGCTGTTAAGAGTCACAGCCTACAAACCATAAGGTCTCATCAGACTGTCAGAGGTATTCAAACCAGAGCAACTCTATCTTGAATAGGAGCTGGGTAAAATAAGGCTGAGATCTACTTGGCTGCATTCCCAGGAGGTTAGGCATTCTAAGTCACAAGATGAGTTAGGAAGTCAGCATAAGATACAAGTCACAAAGACCTTGCTGATAAAACGTGTTTCAGTAAAGAAGCTGGCCAAAACCCACCAAAACCAAGATGGTGATGAATCTAATGGTCATCCTTACTACTCATTAGATGCTAATTATAATGCATTAACATACTAAAGGAAACTCCCATCAGCACCATGACAGTTTAAAACGCCATGGCCATGGTGGCAGGTGACTGTGATCCCAGCTACTTGGGAGGCTGAGGCAGGAGAATAGCTTGAACCTAGGAGGCGGAGGCTGCAAGGGGCCGAGATTGTGCCATTGCACTCCAGCCCGGGCAACAGAGTGAGACTCTGTCTCAAAAAAAAAGGAAAGAAAAGAAATTTTAATGGTCTGGGAGCTGCTGATGACTTAAGAAGGCTGGGAGGACTTCCGAGTTTAGCACATTGGTTCCTTTCCTTGTTACTCAGGAGACATCAGCGTCCCTAAGGGCCTAGTGCCAGTTTTCAAATTCCTGCAGAAAATATTCCCCCAAATTCAAAGTTACAGAGGGATAGGGAGGCTTTTTTTTTTTTTTTTTCCAGGAGTGGTTAAGAGGGATAATTGACTTTCCTATTGGGTCTGATGCTGAGTCTGATCCCAGGAACCTTTCTCTTTGGCCAAATGTCACAAGAGAACTAGGCAGGTCACCTGAAGTAGGAACTATAGCATCATCTTGAGGAGGGATAGAGCGACTTGAGGAGAAAAAGACTAATATATGATCAAAAAGGAGACATTGTTTTGTGAAAATGAGGAAACTAAATTTGTAGCGCATTTATTGCGAGCTGTTACATTGTAAGGGCCCTTCAGTAAACAATAGCTATAGAAACTGTACAGAATGATTGTTCCCCATCTCCATATAACCCTTTGCAGTTAACGTCCCAAAAAAAGCACAGCACAATTTAATAGAGAAGGCTTTTTCTTCAAACTACATTGAGATCAAAAGCCCAAAAGAATAAATTGAAGGGATAGAAAATAAAAGCAATTTAGATATAACAGTGGTTAGTTGTGCATTTAGAACTCTTATTTCTGTCAGGATACAACAAGGTAATATGTGTGAAAAGAGTTTCAAAAATATCAACGTGGTATTGTTTTCCTGTAGAGACAAAGGCAGTGGAAGTAGAGAAGTCATAAACAAAAGATCTTATCTCCAGCTAGCTCTTGCCTGAAAAGTAGGTGCTTAATCATACAGGTAGGTCTAAATAGTAAAAAGATGTATTCCATAAGCCACTAACTAAAATCAGTCTGGACTTGATCTCTGTAGCCCAGAGAGATTGATGATTCTAGGGAGGGGATCGAGGGCCCCAAATCCAGGAAACTGGAAAAGATCGGTAGCTTAAAACCATTCGTTCATTTATTTATTATTCGCTTATTTATTATTTCACTGTATTTTTATAAAGAACTACTAGAGTTTCCTGGGCAAGGAACTCATAGTCTAGTAGGGGAGACAGACAAGATTAAGGAAAAAACAACACAAGTAAAGGACTTTGCTTTGAGCAAAAGAGAAGGCTCATCATTTGAGATTGGAGAGAGTTCCAGAGGATAACGTGGGAATATGTGATCTGATGAACTGAAAAATGCTGGATGACTTCAAACTTTCTCATTCAGGTGGCAACATAGCATCATTGGAAGAGGAGAGGGAGAGCATATGGGGGTTGAAAGAGGGAATAACTCCAGTGGGCAATGTGTTGGAGAGGAGAGTTTAAATTGAACAGCGTATATCTACATGGAAGCTTGATTTGAAGTTGGCTCTTACTCAATGTTAAGCAAGCAGTTCTGTACTTGATACACTATTAGGGAAGAGGCTGCAGGGAGGGGGGAATGTCTCGATGTTAGCTCTTGTCAGCTGCCTACAGGAACTGTTTGTCCTGTAATTTTGAGTGGGAAATGTCAAATTAGCATTTTATCAGTATGTCAAACTTGGTATATATGTATATATAAAACTATACTCCTGATCTTCCTCCCCAAATTTCTTCCTCCACATTTCTTCCCCAGATCAGTTCATGGAAACTCTGTTCTTCCAGATGCTCAAGCCAAAAACTCTGAGGTCATTCTTCTTTTTTTTTTTTTTTTTTTTTTTACGTAGTCTCACACTGTCGCCCAGGCTGAAGGGCAGTGGCAGAATCTCAGCCCACTGCAACCTCCCCCTCCAGGGTTCGAGCAATTCTCCTGTCTCAGCCTCCCAAGTAGCGGGGACTATAGGTGTGCTCACCACCACACCCAGCTAATTTTTGTATTCTTAATAGAGACAGGGTTTCACCATATTGGTCAGGCTGGTCTCGAAATCCTGACCTCAGGTGATCCACCCACCTCTGCTGCCCAAAATGCTGGGGTTACAGGCATAAGCCACCATGCCCAGCCCCTGGAGTCATTCTTGATTCTTCTCTTTCCTCCATTTTCAACATATACTCAGTCTCCAACACCTTTTTTTTTTTTAACCACCTTCCCAGCAGCTAGTCTGTTCTTAGCCTCCATCACCTCCTGCCTCAATGATTGAAATAACCTCCTAGCCAGTCTCCTTGCTTCAGCTCCTGCTCACCTGCAGTCTGTTCTCAACACTGTAGCCATAGTGATCCAATGAGAGCAGAAGTCAGGCTAAGTCATGGCTTTGCTCCAAACCCACCAACTCTCCCAGAGTTAAACTCGACCTCCACAAAGTGGATGATAAAGCTGTCCATGATTTAGATCCCTCGACCACTCCAACCTCATGTCCTCCCTTTATCCCCCCATCCACTCTGGTCCCGAC